AGTGATTACTTTGACAGGAAACAAAGCTCTTCACTCTTCAGTGAGAAGGAAGAATGTTGTGACTGACATTTATTGAGCACCTTCTATGTGCCAGATGCTTCCCGTCAGTGGTCCCATTTAATCTTCACAATAATCCCATCACCCAGGTTCTATTAGGCCCACTTTCCTTCTCTGAGTTCAGTTTCCTCAGCTGTAAGATGACCTCCCTGAGGTCACAGAGAGTAAGTTCCAGAAACAGGGTCCAACCATAGGTTTGTCTTTCAAATAGCAATGGTACTCCAATGGGGGCGGGGGTGGATTTTGGAATCAAACTGTATTGGGTAATGGAGTACATAAGAAGGGGAAAGGGGGGTGGAGTGCCGTGCAAGGGAGATGCACCACCTCTCCACCTTCCATTAGCTCCCCCTTTCCAAGTGCAAGGTGGCTGAGATGAGGTTCAGCTATGTCTCCAGGATGAAGAAAGGAAACTGAATCATTGGTGAGCATACCATGGTGTTCTCTGCCATGGTATGCTGCCTCGAAAAGACAAACAACTCTCTCATTGTCTGAGATTACCCCCCAATAACCATGTAAGCTCAGTACTCTCAGGGTAAGGCTCCAAAAGGAGAACTGCACTTGATCAAGGTCACAGAGACTTAAGCTGCAGAGGCAGAAAACCTCAGGTTAGGTTCCAGCTGTAAATCCAAGTGTCTTCCCTCTAAACTGTCTGTAGGTCCCAGCCCATCCTCAGGCTGATGAAGACCGAGATCACATCTGGCCCCTCCTTATCCAGCAGAGCATCTGCAAGGAGTTTCTCAACCCTGAGCTGTGATAACAATAGCACCAAATGAGACACTCCTCCACTCAGCCATTTGCTTCCATCAGAATCACCATGTAAATGCAGCCAAAGAAGGAAGAGCTTGGGCTTCTCTGTCTGAGTTCTCGGAATCAGTGAGTCAAATTGCCTGGCCTGGAAAATCTCAGGGAAAGTATGTTGGCGCAGCCTCCATGGGAGAAACTGGGCATTCTGACTTCTCACTCAGATCTCTCTAAGCATCCAAGAGCACTGAGGCCCTCTGGTTTCTGCCCAAGGGATAATTGGTCATTTCTCCCCACTGTCTCCCCGTACCAGATAATGGTTTACAGATTGGGAAATGAAAGCAGAATCTTCAAATGCAGAGGGTGGGTTTGTTTCAATATATGGTAGAAGTAATAGAATCAAGAGAATTTTTAAAAAGAAAACACTGAGCAATAGAACACTGATAGAAAGACATGTATCATACGACCTCACTGATATGAGGAATTCTTAATCTCAGGAAACAAACTGAGGGTTGCCAGAGTGGGGGGTGGGGTGGGAGGGATGGGGTGGCTGGGTGATAGACATTGGGGAGGTTATGTGCTACAGTGAACGCTGTTGTGCAAGACTGTTGAATCACAGATCTATATCTCTGAAACAAATAATGCAGTATATGTTGAGAAAAAAAAAAAAGAAGATAGTAGGAGGGGAAGAATGAAGGGGGGGAAATCGGAGGGGGATACAAACCATGAGAGACTATGGACTCTGAGAAACAAACTGAGGGTTCTAGAGGGGAGGGGGGTGGGAGGATGGGTTAGCCTGGTGATGGGTATTAAAGAGGGCACATTCTGCATGGAGCACTGGGTGTTATGCACAAACAATGAATCATGGAACACTACATCAAAAACTAATGATATAATGTATGGTGATTAACATAACAATAAAAAAATTTTTTAAAAAAGAACACTGATAGAAACCAAACCAGGGTCAAGATATGTGGGATTGGGGGCCTGGCTTTGATGTTACTGATCTGGGAGAGAGGACAGTCAGGTCCTCTCTCTGAATCTTGACATCCTTTTCCTTGAAACCAGATGGGTTACTTGAGTGGTCCCCGGCTGGGGTAGCTCCACCCCTAAGGGACATTTGTGAAAGTATCGAGGCATTTTGTAATTGTGTGACACCGACTCGAGGATACAACTGATCTTCAGCAGGCAGAGGCCTGCAATACGCGGGACAGTCTCACCGATAAAGAACTGTCCCTCCCATAACACCGATAGTACCCTTGTTGAATCCCTTGATAATCTCTTACTGCTAGAATCAAAGATTTTTAATAAAAAATTGGCCTAATTTTCTGCTTTGGTAGCTAGGAAACTCCAAGCCAATTGGAGAAGCCTCATTCACAGCTCCATGTAGCCTAAGTCCTTGGTATTCTGATACTTTCTACTTATTCTTCCCCTTCTCCTCCCTACACAAACACACAAACACACACCAATGTTATGCTGCTTAACTTTTCATCCTTACTTTAATGGTCAAATTTTAAATGAATCTTTCTTTTGTATTATTTCCTTTTTTTAATGGATTTGCATTTTATTGCCACATGGTTTCATTGTGAGCTGTCTGTACACGTTTCCCCTACCAGGCCAACCTCCTTGATGGCAGGGACAGGTCTTGCTCATATTCATTCATTCATTCAATAATTCAAATGACACTTACAATAGCTAATATACAGTGAGCACTTACTATGTACCAGGAACAGTACCAAGAGCTTTTATATGTCTTGAGTCAATTAACCCTTAGGTACTCTTATTATCCCCATATTATGGATGAGAAGACTGAGGCTAAAGGAGGCTAAGTGACTGGCACACAGTCACACAAGCAGGTATCATGTTAGGGACTGGAGATCAGAGACAGAAGCCAGTACCTGCATTCAAGGAGCTTGCATTCTGACAGGCAAATAAACCAACACAGCATAGCATGGTCTCCGAGTATGATCCTAAAGATTGCCGACGGAACCCCAAGGAGAGACACAGAGCCTGATGTCTGGAGAAGAGACCCCGAGAAGATGATGCCTGAGCTCAAGTTAGAGACCCAGTGAGAATGCTCAGAGAGGCCAAGGAGCAAGGACACTCCCCTGGGGAACCCAAAAGTGAAAGTCTGTACATTTCAGGGACTGCAAATGCCCAGTATTATAAGTAATTGCTTGGAATATGGTTTGCCAATAGGGAAACTGAAATCCAGTATAATTTACCCATAGGGAAGCTGAAAAGGTACGTTGTTGAAGTCCCAGAATTTGATTCTAATGGGCACCAGGTTGTAAACGATCAGAGGGTAGCCTATAGCCTTAGTGTCAGTCCTCTTCAAGAACAGAGGCAAGGGGAAGAATAGGGAACCAAGCCCTTCCTAAAACCTGTACTTGGTGTTAAGCATCTTCCCTGCTAGTTGACTGAATCCTGCCTCTGCCCAATAGGGCAGCATTATTATCCCATTTCATAAGCAGGAATACTGAGGCTCAGGGAGGGCAAAAAGGTAGTGAGGAGTTACAGCAGGAATTAAACTCAGATCTGACTGGAAATTCCAAATTCTTAAGAGGCTACCATGCTGCTCCCAGGGTCTCATTTTGTGTGCGCTCCGCCCAGGCATGCTTACCAACTCTGCCATCCCTGGGACACCGAGAGGCTGCTGGGGTCTCCCTGTTAGGTCTGCTACTGCACCTAGACATCAGTGTTTACTTGAAAGGGGTTTCTCCCCTCTTCTGTGTGGTCTGAAGCAGCAAATCCAATGTCAATTTTGTTCATGCTCAATCTCAGTTTAGATAAACCAGTTAGCAGAGTATATATGATAAAATTCCCTGCCAACTTATAAACTAAGTAGTCAAACAAACAAACACAAAATCAAATGAAGATCTAGTTAGCTGGGTCCAATCACTCTGTTCCCTTCCAGCTGGTCCAGGATAATCTATAACAAACACCAGAGAAGAAAAACAAACTACCTGCTTTCATGTCTTTTTTTTCCCTGCTCCTTATTGTTTCCCATCTTTCCTTCTCTCTCTCTCTCTCTAGGTTTTCCCCTCTTTTCTGTATTTCTTTTTCTTTCCTTCTTTCATTACTTTCTTTATCTTTCTCCTCCTTCCTTCCTGTTTTCTGTTTGTCTTCAGGGCCTAAGCAGGAACTCTAGCCTGGGAGACACATGAGGCTCCCATAAAAGCCAATTCTGAAAGGGAGCCATCAGTTTTTCCCTTCTGACACAGAGAGCCCGGAGCTAAAAACCATCTCAACACCTTTTAGCCATGAAACCAGATATGGACACTCCTGGGATGTAGGGGCTGGAGTGCATCTCTGGTCCTATCCAATCGTCCCTGACCCAGGCTGAGATTAGGAACCACCTGCTGGTGAAACGCCAACAGGAAGGGGACCGAGGGGCAGGGAGTCGCCTGGAGGCACGGTGGGTACTAGACCTAAGTCCTTCTTTCATTTTTCTTTTTTTTTTTTTTTTAAAGATTTTATTTATTTACTTGACAGAGAGAGATATAGCGAGAGAAGGAACACAAGCAGGGGGAGTGGGAGAGGGAGAAGCAGGCTTCCCGCTGAGCAGGGAGCCCGATGCGGGGCTCGATCCCAGGACCCTGGGATCATGACCTGAGCCGAAGGCAGACGCTTAACGACTAAGCCACCCAGGCGCCCCTTTCTTTCATTTTTCAGTCCCAGCCCCAGTTACCAAAAAAAAAAAAAAAAAAAAGTTCCATTCCAAGCAGAGAGAAGAAAGTGACAAGTGAGCCAGGCTTTAGCTTTTTAATAATGTGAAAATTGAAGCAATTGAGGAACCGTTATTAATAAACGCAGTTCATGCTATGAAAGCATGGAAATTTTTTCTCTGTAACGTAGCATAACCACGCGGGTGGAAATGTTGATTCATTTAAAATAAACCACTGGCTAAAAATTTCAGCAGTCTAAGGGAACTGTGCGCGGGGGAAGGGGCATGAGCTTGGAGTCAAACTCCATCTATCCCGGGATGAGTCGTGTGACCCCAGGCAGGTCATTTGCCTTCTTAAACCTACCCGCTCACCTGTCTCTTCACCAGTAAAATGGGGACAATAAATAAGCAAACAAACCAATAAATAGACCTCCCCTCAAATAGTTTTCTTGGAGTAGATGAAATGAACACTGTTAAATCTCAGCTTAATGAAAGTGTGGAGGACTAAAAACTAACAATTCTCTAGAACTCTTACCCACATTTCCTCATTTGCTTTGTGATCAGAAGAGAGTCACTTCACTTCTCCAGACTTCCATTTCCTGTCTTCAAAACCAAATCATACTCTTGAGGATGCAAAATGGTATGGCCACTCTGGAAAAGAGTTTAGCATTTTTAATCAAGTTAATGATGCACTTCAACTGTAACTCACCAATCCCACTACTGGGTATTTTCTCTAGAAAAATGAAAATTTAGGTTCATGCGAACACCTATTACACACGTGTGTAGTTGGTCTTTTCATAATCACCAAAAAATGATAACAACCCACATGTCCTTCAGTGGGTGCATGGACAGACAAACCGTGGCTTATCCATACCATGGAATGCTGCTCAGCAATAAAGGAATGACTTTTTGATACATGCAACAACTTGGATGAATTTCAAAGGCATTGTGCTGAGTGAAAGAAATCCATCTCAAAGGCTGTGTACCATATGAGTCCGTCTGTCTGCTATTCTCCATTTAGAGAAACACCGAACTATAGTGCAAGAGAATCCATCAGGGGTGGCTCGGGGTGAAGGGTGCAGGGAAGGTGTGATTGTAAATAGGCGACAGGAGGGAGGTTGGGGGGTAATAAGAAATAGTCTGTATCCTGATTGTGAAGGCGGTTACATAAATCTCTGCATGTGTTAAAATTCCTAGAACTGTACGCCAAAAAAAGGAGGGCATTTTACTCTGTAGTTTAGAAAATAAATAATAAATGGAGTGGGAAGAATACAAATAAATTACTCTTATTTATCCATAACTTTTTGGTTCACAAAGTATTTTCATTTGATTCTCACAGCTCAGAAATCATAACTGACAGACACAAAATGACTTGCCTGGCAAATACTGATGTATTGCTTGAATCCCATCCTTCCAATTTCCAATTCTGGGTCTTTTTCAGGACACCTCACTAGGTGATCCTTGAAGTCCTTTCCTTTTCTGAGAGGCTGTGTGTTTGCCGCAAGAACCTGTTATATACTGTCTATTGTTTGTCTTGTTTTGTTTTGTTTTTTCCAAGTTCCTATGTCAACCTGCTCATGCTCCTGGGAACATTTATATTTTAGTAGAGAAAAAATAAAACAGGCCAGGGCACAATTCCGTAAAATGACACATTAGTGGAAGGCATTTTTTTGACCATCTCTTTGACTGAATGATTAGAAAAATAAGTTGTGGTAAATTGTAAAGACTTCACACATGTATTCGTTCATTCAACACATCTTTATTCAGCCACCTCTTCGGGTGCCGTGACTTGGCACCAGCCAGTTCTTTTTCTGTAGACACTCTCCATACATCCCTTTCTGGCTGACTCTAATGCATCCTTCAGATGTTGGCTGAAATTTCACTTTCCTGGTGGTTTCCCTGTCCTCCAACAAGCTCGCTTCGGTGTTTTCCTGGGACCAGAGAGAGCATCCTACACGGCGTTCTGCATCGATGCTGAGGATTTCAGTACAACATGGTGGCTGTCTCTCCCCCTAGACTGTGAACATTAAAAAGGGAGGGACCAGATCTGAATCATCTGGCACAGGGCTCTGCACAGTTAAGAGGCCTTTATTCATCCACTGGCCAGGTTTTTACATTGACCCTTCTCTGTGTCAGGCAGTGTTCTCTTGTGGAGAAAAATGCACAGCACATGTCCACATGGATCTTACCATTAAAAGTGAGAGACCATGAAGAAACAAATTACATGCTTTGCTGCTCTTATAGATTAGTGAAGAAAAATAAAGGTGGGAAGGAGGACAGAGTGTAATGGGTTCCTGAGGAAGAAACATTTGAGCACAGATGGGAATAAAACACAACTCTTCATTCAGTGCTTCCCCAACAAGAATTTCCTGAGAATCTAGTACTTCATTTATTTTTCCCAATCTTCTAGGCCTGGGTCCTTTCCTGGCCCCCATGGCTCCAGTAAGCATGGGCCCATCTGCTAATATTGGCACTTTGGGCCTTGGTCCCCATGGTGGCTGGAGCCATTGGGATGCCATCGGCCCGGCCTGGGGACACACCTCCCACTCCACTGCCTCTGACAGCCTGAGCAAACTTCTCCTGGGCGGGGGTGCTGGGAGTAATTTTGTTTTGGAATCCGGGTTGGTGTTTAGATTTTAAACTAGTAACCTGCCAGTGTCCGGCCATTTGAGAACTTGGCTTCCTTGGACTCATAAAGTATCCTTTATGCCTAGGAGGTGACATAAAATATCATTCCATCTTTGCCCTGAAATACTCCCGACTGGTGCATGAAATGGGCCTTTATGGTACATCAAAGGCCCATAACCATATCCTTTCCTGGACCTTTGATATTTTAATATTTGGCCAATGAAAGTATTATCTCTTTAATCCACAGAGCTCTTATTTATTTTGTTGGGTATATCTTTGTTGTTACTTCAATGATGAGAGTGCTAGGCAAGGAGAAGGCGCCCAGCCTCTTGGCAGCTCCAGAGTTGGACTTTTTCTAACTTTCCAAAAGCGAAAGAACTCAGTGTTTGAACATTTTTTGGTCTAGGTCTCCTAAGGGAAATGTCAGACAGCATCACCCTTAACAAGTACCTCTAATATATACTTCTCGTAAGCCCACCAAGTCCCTTCAGTGGGCTTCCATGGGTTACCTGAATCTTAAGGAATTGGTGTTTAGCTTCAAACAGGAGCCAGACTTCATTATTATTGTAAATGTGCTGTTCATATTCAATGAAGAGATGTTGCATACCTGCTATGTGTGTCCTTTTAAGTTAGAAACCTAAGAACCACCTGAAATCCCTTGCCCATTTTTTTTTTTTAATATACTCAGGAAGTACTTATTGAGGTTCTGTGTCCCATCAGGCACTGGGCAGGACCTTAGGGATACTCAGCATAAGACCGTCTGCCCTCAAAACCCTTCAGTTGAGTTCCTCTCTCTCTTAAACTCCTCTTCATTTTTTACCAAGTCCTGTGGGTTCTGCCTTCCCAAATAATTCTCAGATTCACCCCTCTCTCACTGTACTCTCTACCTCTGCCTTAAATCAGGATCTGATCATTTTCCAACTGACTTCTGCCACTGTCTCTTAACGGGACTCCTGACCACCAGCGTCACCCCTGTGACCCACCCAGGATCCAGCCACGGGCGTTAACCTAAAACTCAAATCCGATTTTATCAGTGCTCTGCTCCAAACCTCTCAAGCTCAAATGCCTTCAAGGTCCAGGCAATGAATAAAAATAAGTGAAGTAGCAGGATAAGGTCAGGGCCAGGAAGATGGTAGAAAGCAGAATTGGAGAGTGCATGCCCTACCTAAATGAGGGCCCCATGTCAATCCAAGTAAACACATCTTCGGGCTGAACCCCAGGCCACCAGCCTGCAGCTCTGGCTCCCATTGAATTCCTACTCCTCTCTGCAGCCTCTTACCGGTGCCACCTCATGAACTGGCCCAACCAAACTTTCTGGTCTGTTTTCTCACCCTAATCATCCCCCACTTGCCTCCCCTTCTAATCTGTGCTTAGCTATATTAAATTTTTTGCTTTTGTTTTCCAAAAACCATCACGCCTTTGTGTGTATCTGCTCATGGTGTTACATTTCCTGAAAATTACCCCAGTTTCTCACGTAGAGAGTTCTGTTTCATCTTTCAAAATTTACTCTCCAGTATCCCCTCCTCTGACTCTAGAAAGAACTAATCCTTCCCTCTCTGTCTTACTTCTTTGCCTTGTTGATCAGTGGGTGGAGAAGGCTGGCATGTTATCAGGGAGCTCCCTGTGGCTGGTGCTTGCTGGCTGATACCAGGCAATATTTGTGGTCCTGGTACCTTACACCAAGCAAACACTTCAGTGCAAGTGTGACAAATTGAATTATCAGCTTCAGTGCTAGGTAATTACACATATTTCTTATTTAATTTTTATAAGAGGCAGCTTGAGAGGCATGTGTTATTACACCCATTCTCTAAATGAGGAAACCAAGACTAAGCAGAGCCTAAGGTTACACAGTAAGTGAGTAGTAGAACTTGGCTCTGGCCCCAGGTCTTCTAATTCAGAAGCTGGCCTACTTTCAACAATGTGGCCCACCCAGTTCTCAAACTGAATGCAAATATACCAGTGGAAAGTTCTAGAAGTATCTATTGTGTCTGAGAAAAGGCCAAGTGTTGGTAAGGTCATTGATGGGAAAAGATGAAATCGATGAAGAAGAAAATGCACAGAAAGAGCCAGAAAAACCAGACTTGTGGCTCTCCTTAAGCACCATGTCAAAGACCGTCGCAGTACAAAGAGACTTCACTATTATGCAGGTGTCCTGGCTTCAGGGCCTAGTCCTGCTACTAACTTGCTAGGCAACTTCTCTAAGACTGCAATTCTTCACCATGAAGTGTGGGGGCCAGACTCTCTGGTAATTGAGGTCCCTTCTTGCTGTGTCTTTCTAATGTCATGGCACTAACACCCAAAGATGTGGCAGGAGTGAAATTGTTCCCCCGTCCGCCATTCCTGACTGAGGCCCCACCCACTGCCTCACCTCCCATGGTCTTTCCCTCTCTACCTTTCACTCTGGAGAGCCTAGAAACTGGGAAGCCAGGCACAGGTGTAGCAGCAGTGAACAAAGATGACTCAAATTCCTCACATCCGTGGGCAGCTTCCCAGAATGAACAGGCCAGTCCAATGTGCATTGCCTCACACAATGGGAAGCCCTGTTTTTTGTTTTTGTTTTTTTGAAGGACTTGCATTTCCATCATCTTTGTTTTTGTTTTTTAAGAATTTATTTATTTATTTGAGAGACAGAGAGCAGGAGCAGGGGGCGGGGGAGAAGGCAGAGAGAGATGGAGAAACAGGGGCTCCTTGCTGAACAGGGAGCCCGATGTGAGGCTGGAACCCAGGACACTGAGATCATGACCTGAGCCAAAGGCAACCACCTAACTGACTGAGCCACCCAGGCCCCCCCCCCCCCATCATCTTTGTTTATATTTTAAAATGCAGGAATAAAGAATTCATTGATATTCGATGGAGGATAATATTTATTTTTAGGATCGTGTCAGTTCTTAAATGTATTTGACTTCTGTCCCTTCCTCCTTGAAAAAACCAAAAGAGAGAACGAACTACTTTGAATAAAAATTTACTGACCATTTATTCAGGAATAATTTACTGGTCTTGTGGTGATTTC